GACGGATGGAGATGTGTTACTGAATTCGTAGCACAAAAAGTGAATGATTATAATAATATTGATTTTGAAGTTTAATCAAAAATTGACAGACTTCAGTAAGAAAACCAGTAGGGAGTACTGGATATTTGTTTCCTCGACTTTTGAGACTTCATTAGTACACATTCATGACTGCAGCTAGTGGGATTCGATCGCAGGTGCTTCGGACTATGAGGTGAACTAGCTGACCATTGAGCTACTGAGATGGATTCGAGTCATCAGCCAATGGATTCTACCTTGATTTGGCAAAGCATCGAATGAAGCTATATACAACTCATCACAATACTAGCTCATCTCATCGATAGTGGATATCAGATTGACTCTAATAAGGTTTTTAAAGTTATTTATCGTATTTCACTCAACGAGTACAACTTTTACGTATGCAACATAGTCTATCGGAATTTATCTGAACAAGTTAAAGGTGTGTGTGTGTGTTCAAAAGAAATTTCTGCAGCCCTTATCTATGCCGTGGCCAACTAGCATAATATATATTTAATTTTCTATAGTTTGGTTTGTAAGGGTTAGCTATGTTTTTACGAGTTGATCAGTTAGAGAAGCATTGAAAACCATGGAGTACTGGACAGCTGCTGCTGTTTCATCCTAGTTTGGGAATTATCGGCAGTAGTCACCCACCGGGATTCGAACCCAGGACCTTCCGGTTACAAGGCAAGCTCGTATACCACTCAGCCACTGGTTGGGGTCGAGCTAAATCACGAATTCGTAGAAGTTAAAATTCATGGGCTGGCCATTGAATTGGGTCCCAGTGGCTGAATGGTATACGAGTCAGCTTGCTTTGTAACCGGAAGGTCCTGGGTTCGAATCCCGGTGGGTGACTACTGCCGATAATTCCCAAACTAGGATGAAACAGCAGCAGCTTTCCAGTACTCCATGGTTTTCAATGGTTCTCTAACTGACATCAATCCCTAATCGACTTGTAAAAAATATTCATTTTTTAAAAACGATATTCCCCTCTCCTCGGCTTTGATATTTTTTTGTTTACAGTTCTAGCTAATTCTATTAACTTGTTTGTATTTTACGTAATTCTTCTTAGTCATCATTGCTATTTTACAGATTTCTTGATATTATGTAATAACTTGTTGCTAACGCCTATGAATTAACTTATAGTGGATTCCGTAATTAATTAATATTCATCCCTCCTTCAAAACTTAGATATGCCTTGTTACTAACATCTATTAGTTAATTGGTGTTTTGATGACTTGTAACCTCTTAAATTCACCACAACAGCCCCCACCCCCATATATCTAAAACTGATCAACTGAAATAACCATTTGGTTGGTAAAGACGTTTGATGTAAAAAACTATATGTATTAGTGTAGAGCCAGCCAGCCAGCCAGCCGATGATGAGGAACTAATTGAAGTAAAGGAATACATTTCCTTGCCCAAGTTGCCGTTGTTTTGTAACTGTGTAAATGAGAATTTTGAAATTCTAGTTTCTGTCAATTTGTGTAGTCACCCATCATTGTTGTCGGCAAGTATTTATTTATCCTCACACTCCAACTTGATGTCGACCCTTTACTCTGGTGGTCACAATTTTCCACTAGAACTCCAGTCACTAATGAACTGAAAAATCACCAAGCAGGGTTCAAAACATCTGTGCAGTAATCGCTAGTTTTTTGTCAATACTTCATCGAGTAATGTCACTCATAGAGTCTGTTTGTCATTGGACTTCAAATAAGATATTAATGTCTTTAGAAAACAGAAGGATTGAGCAGTGAAGAAATATTTACTTTTCAATTAGATCCTCATCTCAATCTGGCTCTAATCTAATAAACAAATAGAGCATTTTTATTACAATACACAACAATTCACCAGTCAAGTGGCACTAATATGTTTTTGTTAACAATAATTAGTCAGTGTCAACATGTCAATGCGACGGGAGAATTAATACACACAATTAATAGGTAGAAGTGGGTACAACACGTGGATTGCGTAATGCATAATTTTGGAAAAATGAAGAGCAATTAAGGAATAAGCGTGTGCACAGGTTGATTACGCAACAGATTATTAAAGAAAATAAAACGATTTGCACAATGATAATTTGTAACTAAGGTTGAAGTGGTCATCAGAATAAAATAATTTTACAAGAATAATACGTATAAATACGTATAATTTTTGAATGTTTACGAGAAGGGGGGCGAAATAGTCCGATTCATACATTCATGTGACGATGATGGCCAAGGTAAGGAAAGTGGCTGTACAAATTTCTTCTGAACACGCACAGGTTTGGCTTCTTCTCCAGCTGGATTCCTATTGCTTCAGCTGTATATTACATGAATGTATAAACCTGACTACCTCACCCCCTTCCCCTAAACCTTTAAAAATTATAATTGTCCAAATTATTTTTTCTGACACTTCGTCTTTAATTACGTATTATCCTTGTAAAATTATTTTATTTTTATGATCACTTCACCCTGAGTTACATATTATGATTTTCTAAATCGCTTCACTTTTCTTTAGCAATCTGTTGCGTAATCAACCTGAGCACTCGTTTATTCGAGAATTACTATTCACTTTTCCAAAATTACGCATTATGCAACCCAGTTATTGTAACTATTTCTACCTTTTAATTATATGATCGCCTAAATGAGATCCATCCAAATATCAAATTCACCATGGAATATGAACATAATAATGAGTTCAATTTCCTGGATCTAAATGTTAAAAGAACAAACGAAGACATGGTCGAAAAGTCTATCTTTAGAAAAGAAACCTGGACTGGACAATATCTTCACTATAACAGCTTTTGTCCCATGAGCTATAAACGTGGATTAGCGAGGACTTTGTACGACAGAGCCAGGAAGCTATGCTCACCAAACAGGGTCGAAGAAGAATTAGATTTAGTCGAGAAATGCCTAAGGGAAAATGGATACCGTAAGGGATTTATAAAGAAGTATAGCAGAGAAAAAGATGAGAAAGAAAAGCATCCAACTGTACAAAAGAAAAAAGTGTTTATTTGTCTACCATACAAAGGAGATGCAGTGTCTCACGTTAGGTGGTTTCACAAGATAAGTAATGTTGACGTTAGGCGTAGAGTGTTGGGCAAAGAGGGAAAATCAATCGACAAGGCTATAAAGTTACATAGACTAAGATGGCTAGGTCACGTGCTGCGCAGGCCTAACCACCGCCTCCCCCGATGGGCTTTGCTAGCTGACATAGGTTCAGGTTGGAAAAGAGCCAGTGGTGGCCAAACAAAAACACGGCCTCATCAATCCATGAAATCCTTGACAGTTAAACTGAGTCAGGTAGGGAGATGGAGACTTCCGGGTTGGGGCCCTCGGGACTCTAGGAATCAATGGCTGGAGACAATAGGTGACATGGCTCAAAATCGTTGTCAATGGCCAGCGCAGATGTATTCAGTCTCTGTAATCTTTCATATTCCTTCCTACCATTACCCATTCTGTTTCACTCTCATACTTGTCAAACTCTATTGATTCTCTCCACTCATCTTCTTGTCTACCTCTGTGTGCTATTTGGAAGGTGGCAACTCGAACTGCTGCACTTCGGTGCCAAGTTCTATGTTGAATCCAGACAGACAGACAGTGTCACAAAAGATTGACAAAAGACTGTGAGGTGCAATAAATAGAAGCTTTCCGGCAGCAAGACTCATAACAGTATCCAGCACCACTTCTTCTTTAATCCACTAAAAACTGGATAAATACCCTGCTGATGTCACCTCCAACTGCGTTTATGAATTCATGTGCACTTGCGGGAGCAAGTACATTGGAAGGAAAGAAAGGAGGGCTTCTTTCCGGTTTTCTGAACATATTCCCAAAAACCTGTACCTGAAAGGAAGCAGATATTCCCAGAGTGCAATTACCAGACACATTGTTGATATCAGACACCTCGTAGAGATGCCTAAGTCCTTCAAAATATTAAATAGACAAAGAACAGAAAAATTACTATGATTTGCCGAAGCGATCGCAATCAAACGACTCACACCAACCAGACTTATGCATACAGAAAGAGGGTGTGATTAACGTCTCACTCCCTTGTTAACAGAATTTTGATTTTGATTGGTCATCTAATTCAGTGATCTCAACTCACTGAACAAATCTTAATCTCATAAACTGTTACCGCTTTTGTTTTTTGAGTTGCTATGTGAACCTACAAGCTAACACTGTTCTGCTAATTAATTTTTTCTGTTTTCTGTCTTGTGCCTCCCTCCTCTTTTCAACTTTAAAAGCCTATAAATTGATGATGAAAACTTAAACTAAAAACATTGTAATGCTTTCATTTTGGATGCGTCGTCAATTTTATAGTATCTCTTCTCTACTACCACTCAAACATTAAAGTATGTTATTATCATCATCTATAAAACCATTGTAATTTCAGGTAGTCTGCAGCTGATGAGAACCTGTGAAATAGAATGACGATATGATTTAATACTGCAAATTTCGTCTTCCTTTCTTTATCGAAATTTATCAAGGGAACTAAATGTATGTTATTAATTCTCTTCGTTAATTATCACCCATCGCATTGACATGTTGACACTGACTAATTATTGTTAACAAAAACATATTAGTGCCACTTGATTGGTGAATTGTTGTGTATTGTAATAAAAAATGCTCTATTTGTTTATTAGATTAGAGCCAGATTGAGATGAGGATCTAATTGAAAAGTAAAAAATAATTCTTCGCTCGCTCAATCTTTCTGTTTTCTAAAGATATTAATACTTTTTTATGATGTTATAAATGCTGTATAATCAATATAGAGTTGTACTTATTTTTCTTTTCTTTTTTTATTTCTTTCTTTTCAGCTTTCAAATTTCGCCGTCAACTCTTTTTCCCCTCTCTCTCTCTCTCACTGCCTGCCTGTTGACCTGCTCATGTAGTGATAGTGTGTGTGTGTGTTACCTCGTCGTTAGCAGTGCAATTACAGTCAAAGTGTAGTTCTGTACTAATAATTTTTCTTCATTTTCAAAGTTAGAGAGATGTGGAAAGAGTATGTCAATATTTCGGAATTTTTTATCATGTATTTCCATTGAAAATATTTCCTGGCCTTTTGTGAATAATAATAATAATACTAATCCTCTACGAACAGATACTAGTTACCATAGTAACAATAATAATAACAATAATTATAATACATTTCCTAAAAATTCATGTATTATATGCCATGAATCAGTAGATACATGTTTACGTAATCAATCAAGTAAATGTCACAGACATTCATTTCGTCTATTGGATACAACACGGAGAAAAAGTTTAAAAAAGACAAGTAAACAATCTACAGAAAGTCAATATAACATTCAAACAACACAACCAAAGACTACAATGACAACAGTTTGTGCTACAGGTACAACAGATACAATAAATATTCTTGTAAGTTTTATTCCCTCTCTGTTTCTCTCTCTGTGTGTGTGTGTTTGTGTTAAAAGTCTTTATTTCTTTTTTATTCATTCATTTTTGTTCCAAGGGTCTTGTGACTAGGAGTTGCTAGCCTCGTATCCAAGCTTGCTTCAGATCTGGGCTGGTGAACTAGGCAGTGTTTACGATTGCATTAGTTGGGAATCGAACTTGTGTCGACTGTTTAGAAGGCAGCCATGATAACCGACCGCTACACCATATGTGTGACGTTGTTTGTTACAAATTGATGTTGTAGGCAGAACTCTTTGAAAACCAGATGACTAGTATGTTCTAAGGAGGGAAATCAATTGTCGAGGTTCTGAAGCAGCTGAATCGATTGAGATGGTTAGGACATATGCTACGCATTCCTATCCTAGCCATAACCTTTCTCGACGGTTGGAAACCAGGTAGTTTTGATCAAACCAAAACATCGCTTCATTATAGCAAATATATTCATTCAGACATCTATAAAACACAAAATAATTGAGCAAAGAATATTCTTTTCGATAAATTCTTTTCGCAGTGCGATTCTATCTCATCTTATGGATACAGAATACAAGATTGACGTTAACCATGCTTTCGAGGTCATTTACCACATACCTACGAATCTCAATTTTGCCTTAAGAGTTCGACTACTAAATATTGCTGATATGATAGAGAAGATTTGTAGCTCAGGTGGATGATTTTGATGTGGTTGTGTTCTCTGAGCTGGATAGCTGATTTGCGAAGCTTTCATCACCCTACTAGGGGAAATTTCCAAATTGAAGTATGCGCTGAGGATGTCACTTAGTAGGGTGATGAAAGCTTCGCAAATCAACTATCCAGCTTAGAGAACACAACCACATCAAAATATTGCTGAGACTGGCTGTTAAGAATCCATATTAACAAGCCTAATTTGTGCATCCAAAAGAAGGTAGTTCAGATTATATCATTACCTTGGCTATCTAGGTTTGAATGATCTTCAATTTTTGTGGAAATCTTTCTAATTTTAGTTGTTACGCTATTTGCTACTATATCTTTATTATTATTTAAGCATCTTTAAGGAACTGTAATTCCGTTATGATCTTACTTTACAAATCGATATTATTTAAAAAACACTAATATTGTTAATGACTACTAATCTAGAATATTCTTTGTATATAAACATATGTATAACTGTAGAGCCAGAAGAAGAAATTATCGAAAAGGATATCCTTTATTCGATTATTTTGTGTTTTATCGCTTCATTAGTCAATGAAATTCACCACAGTTAGCCTAAGCCAGCCAGCAAAGTAGGGAGGTGTAGACTTCTTGACTAGTTCGGGTCTTTCGGGTGATAAAAACCAATGAAGGCTGGAGACAATAGGTGATATGTCTCAAATGTTTGTCGGTGGCTAGTGCAGATGCATTCACTCTTTGCCATTTATAATATCCTATAAATTTCTGTTGTTTTTCCATATAATTGTTCCTTTTTACCTCATAGTCTGTCTGTCTGTCTGTCTGTTTTCGACATAGAACTTTGCACAAATGTGCGGAAGTTCAAGTCGCCACATTACGTGTAGCACGCGAAGCAAGAGAAGAAAGTACAAGAAAAGCATAATAGAAACAGTGAGCAGAGGTGTGAGACAAAGGAGTAATAAAGAAATACAAAACAGTTTCATTGAAGATCATAAGTCACAGGGAGTGGATGCATCTGCGCCACTCAGAACGGTTTTGAGCCATGTCACCAATTGTTTCCAACCATAAATTTTTACCGTCCGTCTAGTGGTAAGACGACTTCAGTCTGGCTGGCTGGCTGACTGGCAAGCACTATCAGTCAATTTTTTTTATTACAGCTTGATTCCACACCGTATTTTTGTTACAAGTATGGGATTTTCAGCATGTGATATCGGTAGTCCAAATTTTGCAGGCCGACCATAGATATCAAGTGTGTGTCGGCAGGGGATCGAACCCCGGACCATGTGCATGGTCGGCGAGAGTCCTAGCCACTGATTGATACACAACTACTCATTTTAATTAATCAGTAGTATGTAGTTTTATACATCTATGCTGGCTTTCTTGATTACAGCTTATGGCATCTCAAGCAGATCGCATATATTTCGATGATTTCCGAGAGAAACTATGGTAACATTTCACCTAGTCGGACTGTATTTAGGTTGCAAATTCAGAATTACAATTATGTTCAGTTCTGTTACATCATTACAATAATTGGTTCACAATATTCACATGGCCCTCGTATGTAGAATATAAGAGAAATATATATATATATATATATATATATATATATATATATATATAAACTTTCAATTCATGGATAATCCCCATTCAGGCATTAATGAAAACAAAACACGTAGATCAGCGAAGAGACTCTTTTCGCCGGCGAATTCATTTTCTTAGCTGTACAATCGCAAATATATATGTGTTATTTTGTATGTATGTGTGTACATTAAGTTTGTCAAACAAAATCACAATTGGTTATGGTTATTTTAATGAAACAGGTGAAGATTAGTAATACAAGTCAAGAAAATTAGGTGTTAATGAAATTAGGGTAGTAACAAAGGTGAGGAGTTGTCACAAATAGTTGTTAAAAGAAGTTATGTTATGTTGATATGAATAGTTTGATGAGTGAGTTTTACTCAGGATGCACATAGAAACAAATTAGATAATACAAAATTACGTATGAGTTTTGAATGAATACAAGAATTACAAGCAATTAAAGAACAGGCAAAGAAACAAAATTCAGTCATCAAAATCAAAAATAAAAACTCAAATCAAATCAAAACATGAAAAGTTGTTACCATCACAGTAGAAGTGGTTAAGTAATCTTCTTTTGTATTCACAGCTCCGGTTTTTCTATGTGAATGGCCAGAGCTTCAGCGATACAAAGAAGACGAAACCGTATTGCCTTTGATAGGCTATTCTTGACTCTGTAGATTACTCGCCCCGACAAGTGGGCCGAAAAGACTACATCGAAAAAATGAACTATATACTGTCGAATGAAGGTAAATTTTCCCAACCTTCCAATGAAAGAAACAAAATGGAACAGATTGAGAAGCAGCTGACAGACGTCTTGAGGAGAGAATGAAGGCCAATCAACTAATCAGTGGGGTTATCTATGACCAGATCCGGCCAACAGGTTCAATAATACCAAGACTCTATGGTCTATCAAAGGTACACAAGGTTGGTCTCCCACTTCGTCCAATTCTGGATATGCCAGGTTCCCTTACCACTCTATTTCAAAATGGCTAGCAGATATTCTGGAACCTATAAGGAAACAATTATGTTCGCACGCGCTCCGTGACACCTTTCACTTCGTCGACTGTACACAAGACATGAATGTATCTAACAAAATTATGTTATCATTCGACATTGAGTTACTTTTCACCAATATCTCACCCACGGAAACGATCTGCTTCATATGCAGATATATATATGACAACCACCTCAATAATGGAATACCAACAACATATTTGAAGAAATTACTATTGAGATGCACTCTGAAAGTCAAGTTCACATTCAACAACACTATCCACAGACAAAAAGATGGTATGGCAATGGGATCTCTGTTGGGTCCACTACTATCAGGTTGCTTCGTGGCAAGCCTCGAAAGAGGTCCACTAAAGCAAAGCATTGACAATTTGCGACTGTATAAGAGATACGTGGACGATATTTTCATTATTTGTGACAATAACAACGACCCAAGTCTACTGCTGAAGACATTTAACAGTTGCCATCCAGCAATAAAATTCACTCTTGAAATGGAAAACGAGTCAAAAATTCCGTTTCTTGATGTGGAACTAACAATAAGAACTGATGGGAGTCTAAGAAGATCGATCCACAGAAAACCTACGTGGAATGGTCAACTAACAAGCTTCTACAGCTGGGTACCCATTCAACAAAAGCGGAATTTAATCAAATCACTTGCCACCCGCATCCGACGCATCTGTAGTCCCGACGTTCTAGAAACAGAATTAGATATTCTAAGAGAAATCTTCATCCAAAATGGATGCCCAATAAGATTCATCGACAAAATATCAAACCAATAATTCGGAGGAACGAAACTTTAATTGCGCCTAAAAAGAAACTCTTCATGAACTTGGATTTCAAGGGAGATTTAGCAAGCGATATTCTCAAAAGAAAGATCACATCATCTCTGAGAAGAACATTCTTTGTAGCAACGCTAAGAATAGTGTTCTCCAGTTGCCCACTGATCTGCAAAAGCCTCAAGGACAAGATCCCACATCTGACCACTTCTATGTGCATATATCAGTTCACCTGCTGCTATGGAGCCAGGAACATCGGTAGTTCGACGCGCACCCTGTCCAAGAGGATTCAAGAACACTATCCGGCATGGCTGCGAAAAGGCAATAGTGGTGCAATAAGGAGTGTGATAATTTAAAATCTGCTTAACACTAATCATTCCATTTCAACAAACGCCTCCTGCTTCAAAGTAATCTGCAGAGTCAAGAATAGCCTATCAAAGGCAATACGGTTTCGTCTTCTTTGTATCGCTGAAGCTCTGGCCATTCACATAGAAAAACCGGAGCTGTGAATACAAAAGAAGATTACTTAACCACTTCTACTGTGATGGTAACAACTTTTCATGTTTTGATTTGATTTGAGTTTTTATTTTTGATTTTGATGACTGAATTTTGTTTCTTTGCCTGTTCTTTAATTGCTTGTAATTCTTGTATTCATTCAAAACTCATACGTAATTTTGTATTATCTAATTTGTTTCTATGTGCATCCTGAGTAAAACTCACTCATCAAACTATTCATATCAACATAACATAACTTCTTTTAACAACTATTTGTGACAACTCCTCACCTTTGTTACTACCCTAATTTCATTAACACCTAATTTTCTTGACTTGTATTACTAATCTTCACCTGTTTCATTAAAATAACCATAACCAATTGTGATTTTGTTTGACAAACTTAATGTACACACATACATACAAAATAACACATATATATTTGCGATTGTACAGCTAAGA